ACGTGTTCCCCGCTGCTTCTGCTTTCGCGATCAGGTCAGGTCAGGTCAGGTCAGGTCAGGTCAGGTGAGACGTACACGCACTGCAACACACTGACAGTGCAGAAGAGGGTCTGAGGAGAGAGGCGCTGGGTGGGCGAGAGGGTGTGTTGCTTCGGGGCTTCAGGGCTGAGCAACTTGTCGAAAGCACCAACGCATTGCCCACTTCCGAGGACACGTTCCAGACTGGCAGACTCGAATGGCGTGCAGTCAACACTCTCAGCCACACCTCCACCCAAAACATATATAAGTGTGTGTGTCTGTGTGTGTCAGTGCAATATATGCACACACAAACACACGTACAAGTAGACAGATGAGCACACACTTGCATATTTGTACATTTATTCGCTGCGATTTCTATTGCTTCATCTGGACTCTTGTACCATCCACACTCACGAAAGTTGCATCTGTCTCCGTTCAGAGACATCATCGGCTGCTGGCTGCGCCGACCAACTTCTGTAAAGCCACAACCCATTCGAGAATAGCATATTCGCGGTCTCTTCAAGTGGTATGTAGTCACATTGTTCCACCATCCGGCCACCACAACACACAAAACACATACACACACACACACGCACACACACAAGCACATAGACAAATACACACTTGCATATTTGTACATTTATCCGCTGTGATTTCTATTGTTTCACCTTCTACGCAAGAAGATGTACCAGGCCATCTTCCATTTGTGATGGCGACCTCAAGTCACTGACCTATCCAGCCGCTGGAGAAATTGTCACCTGACTTTCCATCTCGAAGGAAAAGTGGGTTGGAAGGAATTCGTGAAGTAGTCTCATCAGACGCCGAAAGAGGGTGCGAACAAGTCTCCAACTCACCGGTCCTATCACAGACATGAATGATCAGAGCAAGGAGCAAAAACTGTAGCAAACCAAGCGAAAAAGTGGCCGGATGCGACTCTATTCACTCTTCTTTTTCTGATGAGCTCACTTGCATTTCGAGTAAGGTCTTGGGTGAAGATGTTCAAGGTTCAAGCCTACAAAAAGACGACAGTGGATCCCTCTTCTTGTTGATGCTGTTCCACGGAGCCAATTTGCTTCGAGTCACGTGGAAACGTGATGACAGACGTCATCCTTACGACCAAATTTATTATGTGCGTCATATGATTGAACAAAAGTGAGCATGTTTTCATCGCAACGAGAAGAGATTGCCTCAGAAACGGCATCAACAAAAGAGTTCCAGTAATGAAGGTTCGCCGTCGCCTTCTCTTCGCCAGACACCTTCACTCGAGGTGGAAGTGAGCTCAACAATTGGAAGCGAACAGGATGTCGGTATTTTTGCCCGCCATTTTCGTCTGCAGCAAAGAAAGGTATGAATGCTGTTAAGGGAAATCAAGCCCTACAGAATAGATTTTATATTGAAAAATAAAAGAATATCAAAAATGTACCTCTTTTCTGGGACCTACTTTGTGGCAAGCTTGTCGCCTTTGAGATTATCTTGTCCTGCGCAATGTCGACTCGATTCCAAGACAACGCTAACTCCAACTGATTTTCCACTTCGGATGAAGTCTTGATCAACGCGTAGAGAATGGCGGCGTCCAGGTCGTCGGAACCCTTCATGTCGAAAGTGTTGATAAGACGCGGATCCTGTACAATGATCTCGATGAGCTGAAAGGCTTCCGTCGCTTTGTCGCCCGACATTCGACTGTCCTCCAAGTCCTGCATGATCTTTCTCGCCTCTGTCGGGGAGAACTCGAAGCCGGCGGTCTGGTCGGTCGGCGACTTGTGCCTGAAGGCAAGAAAAAGCAAACTTGAAGCAAGCTGACCTGTTCGAGTCCTGTTCGCATATTCAGGCCTCGCGATTCGGACTGACAAGAAAAAAGTCGGGCAACGAAGAAGAACACGTCAAGGCAACAGGGAGACGCTTCTGGTTGCCAGGCCTCGCTGGTCTATACCAGATTGAGGAGGGCGAAAATGCCAAAAATGGACACACCTCGAATGAACCCCACGA